AGGACAGAGTAACTGCCCCATAGGGTTCCCCAGGCTGTAATCATCATAGGAGTAGATTGCCAGGTCTTTTTTCTCCGCTGTCATTTAGAACACACAGCCTTCCATTTGAAATACTTTTCTTTTTTGGGTGCTGAACACTTGGAAATTTTTTTTTTTTTTTTTTTTTTGGCCATGTAAGAGGAGCTATTCTAGTAGACCTGGAAGAGAAACACTATGTGCAATGTTTATCTGCCCCACTTTTCTTTATAGCTCTGAGGATAAAGCAAGACAGAGAGGAACTGGGGGCAAAGAGTTGGAAAAGTCTTCTCTTCCTCTGGGGAATGGTGCATTCGTACCTCATTGACTGAGGGCCGCCTAAGTGCCAGGCACCATTCTTGGAATGCTGTTGTTGTTGGGTGCCGTCGAGTCAAACGCAGAGATGAATATGACACTGTCCATGACTGTGATGGTTAAGGTTGAGTGTCAACTTGGCTGGGCCATGATTCTCAGTGGTCTGGCAGTTTTGATGTAGTTTGGTAGCTATGTAACGATATAATCACCTCCTTGATGAAATCTAATACAATGTAATCACTTCCATGATGAGATCTGCTACAAGCAGCCAGTCAGTTGAAAAGGTGTTTCCTTGGGGGTGTGGCCTGCATCCAATATATGTGGACTATCTGGGAAGGCTCACAGGCTTTTGCTCATTCCGGATCCTGCATCTGGCCTCCAGTTCTTGGGACCTGAACTAGCAGCTTACCTTCCAATCTTGGGATTCGTCAGCCTCCGCAGCCTGTAAGCCAGCGGCCTGCCACCTTACCTGCAAATCTTGGGTTTCATCGGCCTCTGCAGCCTGTGAGCCAAAGGCCTGCCATCTTACCTTCTGATCTTGTGTTCATCAGCCCCTGCAGCTATGTGAGTCAGGAGAAGCCTCCAGCCTGACTCACGGACTTGGTACCTTCCAGCCCCTACAACTGCGTGAGCCATTTTCTTGATATAAATCAATCTCTCTCTTTCTCTCTTCCTCTATACATATACACACTTCACTGGTTTTGTTTCTCTAGAGAACCCAGCCTAAGATACTTACCCACTTTTTTCCTCTCCCTGTGTAATACTGCAACCCATTCCTATTTAAAAACATCACGATTATAGGCACAATTGTCTACACAACTCTGCCCATGAAGAATGGATCACTCTGTTGTCCCTGCATGTTACCCCCTCTCTACAGATCTATTTGGAGTAATTCTAAAAGTTTTTTAATAAGACAACGGATGCCAGTATAATCACAACCCCAATGCAGACCATCAGTGTTCCTCTATTCTATGGCTGGAAAGCATACCTCTAAGCTGCCCAGCTGCCCATAAATGCAAGGCCTAGGTCACAATCAGGTAGGAAACATACAAGATATTGTAATTCAATTCAGAGAAGAAAAAATAACCCAGTATAGCCATAAAACAATAAACAAAGGGCACCTCTTTTTCATCTTACTTACAAGGCTGCAGTTTCAGTAAAATGAATGAGCTCCATACTTGCTATTAACACTTTTTACAAGTTCATGTTTACTAAGAAAAAGGTTACACATCAGAAAAAATGTTTCTAACTTGTTACTAATTAGAAAGCCTGGCTGGCATAAATAAGTGACAATCCAGAATACAGAATGTGCTTCAAGTAGCTTTTTTGTTTTTTTTTTTAAGGAGAAGGATGGGAGGAATACAAGTAACTTTTACGGAGGATCCTTCTCCTAGGTACCCTCCTATAAGCCCTTTCCTTAATGTATTCAACCTACACAATTTTCCTGGGAAGTAAATGATATTTTTTTTTTTTTCAGATGCAAAACTAAAGCTCAGATGTTAAGTAACATGTACTGATTTTTCCTATTTCAGTTCTTCTGGCAAAATTATTCCTTCTCTAAATCACTGCTTCTCAACAAGCTTGGGGAAACTGGTCATTACTGGGTCCTGGCACTTCTTCCTCGTATGGGTTGGCCATGCGTTGCTGGGCATTTAGCATCTCTGGTCCATGGTCACACAATGCCAGTAGCAGCTCCCAGGAGCAGTCCTTATACATCCCGAACATGCCCAAGGAGGACAGTGTCACTGTCAGATGAGAACCACTGATCTAAAACTCCGAGCATGGGACAAGATACTGAAGAGAAGCAATTCCTTTAAAAGAGAGGTCTTCCATATCCTCAAATCTCTCTCAAAAGCCCCTTATTTTATAGAATATGGGATCCTAAGAAAGCACATGTACCTTATGGGACCAGTTACAAAATCTTCATGAATTTATTTCTCATTCATTCCAAGAACATTTAGTCACTTTGAGTTGGTACCGACTCGACAGCACCTAACAACAACATTACGGGCCAGGTAATCAACTTGACAGCACACAACAACAACTGTGCTACTGGAGCCCCTGGATGGCACAAACAGTTAAGCACTGAACTTCTAGCCCAAAGGTTGGCAGTTCAAACCCACTCAGAGATGCCTCGAAGACAGGCCTGGCTATATGCTTCCAAAAGGTCACAGCCTTGAAAAACCTTATGAAGCACAGTTCTGCTCTCATGCACAGCCACCACCTATCTGTCAGTGGAAGCCTGCACATTGATATGATGCTGAACAAGTTTCAGCAGAGCTTCTAGACTAAAGACAGACTAGGAAGAAAGTCCTGGCAATCTACTTTCAAAAATCAACCAACAAAAACCCTATGGATCACAGCAGTCTGATCTGCAACCTATTACCGGGATGGCACAGGACCAAAGCAGCGTTTTATTAGGTTGTACCTGGGGTTGCTGTGAGTCAGGAGCCAACCTGACGGCTGCTAACAATAACAACTGGGCTATTGGCTGGGAATATAAAGTCAAAGAATACATGGCCCCGATTACCAAAGGGCTTATAGTCTAGTGAGAGATAGATTAAGTATAAGGTAGTTGTAGATGTAAGCATAGGGTCTAGGGAAGCTCACTGAAGGAGGCATCTCCACAGACCGGAGAAGAGTGCTTAGAAGGCAGAGGGAACAAGAGGGCAGGGGCAGGTTCCCAGAGCAAGTAAAGCTTCCTTGAGTCTTGAAAGATCAACTGGGAGTAGCCAGGAAGGGCCGGATCCAGGCCAAGAAAACTGCCTTTGCAAAGACCAAAAGCTATGAAACACATTTGCAGCATAAGTTTAAAATACTTCCTTGAGACTTCATTGTGATTCAAACTCAGGATCTCCTGTTTACTAGTCAGGCACTTTAAACAAATAAGTCACAAGAAAATAATATGAAACAAGCTCTCCTCAAGTCCACACGTACTTCCTTTCAAAGCCCTTGTTTTTGTAAGGTCTGGTTTTGCTAGTACAGTAAGCCATCAGACAAGAAATATGACTAATTCTATACTTTTTACAATGAGCAGGAAATTGTTTCTAAGTATTCTGTGGCAACAAGTGGGGATGTACCTCACTTTGGGACACAGGACAGTGGTGACAAGAAGATAGCCAATGTTGTCGGACAGGTAGGTTGGAAGGGATCATCAGTAGGTGAACTTACCCTCGGTCTCAAGCTCAAGATGAACTTTACCTTGGTTATTTGTTTTCCATTTGAATGTTCTTGTCTCTCTTACCATCAATTGCAACAATGCAAAAAGCTAAATTCTCACCGTATTAGTACATTCGCACAGGGAAAAAAAAAGTCTAGAAAAGTCTTTGGCTGATTGTTTTTTGTAGTGCCTCCCCCACCCCCACCCCCACCTTTTTTTTGGATAGAGCTTTATTTTTGTTGACAGGTTGGGAAAGCTGGAGGTGGCCCGCTGGGGATCTCTAAATTTGAGATAGCCCAAAAGCTGTGTTTATGAGCACTGAGCATAGGAGCAGGGTTGTTGCTACTTCAGGTTGTTAAGACAGTAATTAAAAGGAAAGCAAGAATCAGATTAGTTCAGTTTCTCTCTCCTGGGGCGGAGAGAGGAGGGGTGGAGCAAGCAAGCAAGCCCAGTGTGGTTCATTCTCTCTAGCCTACACGGAACAGTCCCATTTCCCCTTACCAAGGAGCCTGATGCAGCTGGCAGGCGATGCCCTCTTTTTCTTACTCCAGGTCCCCTCAGCCCTAAGTCACCCTCAGTAACCATAATTACATACATGAACGTAGGCTCTCCATTTAGTCCCCTGATCATTCCATCTTATCATTTAGACAATTTGACCTCGAATTTGACATCCCAAACACTTCTAGTCCACATACTTTTCCCAGAACTATCTCCAGTAAGAAAGCATGTGGTCCAAGGTAAAAGAGGCTGACAAAGAAAAACTCTGGAGATCCTTCCCAAACGGCCCGTCCCAGCTTTCAACCAGGAAGTTCAAAGGACGCCAAAACTGCAAAACCAAAGGCAAAAATTATACAAAGAAAGAGAGAGGTGGTCTTCAAAGAAAAGGGATCCACCCAAATAGTTCAGTTGTCCTTTTTCCCCTAGCTGATTCCATTTCGTTCCTGTAAACTTTGCAAACCCCAGGAGGATTGTATAAACAGAGACAAGTGTAGCAACACCTCCCCCCTCCGGGTATATCTGCTGCCGCCGCTGTCGAGTAGACAAGATGAGGGACCCTCGACCCAATCGCAGTCCAAGCTTCCCGATGACGCACCTGGCCGGGGTCCTCTCCCACGTGTGGGGGGACGACGCGAACATCCCCAGCCCCATGGCCTCCCTGCCAGCCCTGCGGGAAGGGGCAGGGAAAGAAGGCACCTCGGGGCTGACCCCGAATGCCGGTCTCCCCGGCTTTCCCCTCATTTCCAGCTAATTGTTTCGCATTAGGGACACTTTTCTCTTGCCTCTTGTCCTAAAGTGCTGCGCATCTACATCTCTCTCCAGAGCAACTGAATAAAGCGCCTACTGGCCTTCGCTGCTCAGGTGAGTGCCAAGAGGTGTAGGAGGAAGGGGCCCACGCTCCACCACCCCCGTCCTTTCCTCCTCCCCTCCATCCCCAAGCTTCATCAGGGATGTGTGTATTGGGGTGCGCGGGTTAAGGGGGGGGCTTAAAAATGCCCCAAGCGTCCCTTACCTTCCACAGCCATTCTTTCAGAGGTTGCCTAACGCATGCATAATTTTCCTGGCCGAGGTCCTCCTCCTGCCCCACGCTCCCCCCACCTTCTCTTGCCTAAATATTCTGCGCTCATCTGCTCCAGGACCAACCTGCCGCGGTCACGCAAAGCGAGGCAACCGGCTCCCAGCTCGGCGCAGGGCGGCCTGGGAAGTGTAGTTCCGGCCCTCGCCCTGACTCTCGGTGGAGCGCTCATAGTCCTCCGTGGGGCACAGCCCCGCCCCACACTCAGACCGCACCTCGGGCAACGGTCGGCCGGGGCGGGGCCCCCATTCCCAAGGGACCCTCGAGCTGACTAGGGAGTCCTAGACTGCAGCGCGGACTACATTTCCCAGGATGCTGTGCGCTGGGGTTCGTTCCGCGCTAGGAGTAGGGACTCGTGATTGAAACCTTCCCCCTGTCAATTAGAAGGGGTCAAGCACCCAGCAGCTTGGTGGGGAAGGAAAGAGGTGGTGGGGCTTTTGATGTGCTCTGCAGGGCTGGTCCTCTGGCCTCAGCCTCTTCCTCCGTCCACCTGCCCTCCTTAACCGCCCTTCCTAGATTAGCCAAGAATAGTAGTGGGTGGAGAGAGCGGAGCCACCGGCAGCTGTGGTTTTACCCCGGGCCAGACCCCGCCGCACAGGGTGCGGTTGAAACTTGTTCCTGTGAACCCTGGGATTGTGGAATTTGTGGGGAATCCAGCCAGGTGATACAGCTGTCTGCTGATCCTCCAGGGTGGGGCATGTTCCGGTGACTTAAGACTTAGAGAAGAGGTGGTTTGTTGTTAGGTGCTGTCCAGTCAGTTCGACTCACAGCAACCCTACGTGCAACAGGGCGAGGGATGGCTTACAAAGCCTGAACACGTAACATCCCCAAGGGGTTTATGAGGAGCAAATCCAGGAACCAGCATTCCACCCGAGGACTTCAGATGATGAAAGTCTTGCCTGGCTTCCAAAGTGGGAGGCTTTCAGCTTTCCTGGCCTGGGAGGCGGTTGGCGCTCTGTGATAAACCAAACAAAACCAGACCCATTGCCATGGAGTCGATTCTGCCTCAGGCCTAATAATTAACGGTGTCTAAGTGTCGGAGTCCTGGTGGCACAGTGGTTAAGCGATCAGCTCCTAACCTAAAGGTTGGTGATTCAAACTCGCCAGCTGCTCCAGGAGAAAGATGTGGCAGTCCGCTTCTGTAAAGATTTACAGCCTTGGAAACCCTATGGGGCAGTCCTACTCTGTCCTGTAGGGTCGCTATGAGTCAGAATCGACTCAGCAGCCATGGGTTGAGTCAGTGCTCTTTCATCTTCTGAACCTGTGCCCTATCACTGTTCCCTATGCCGTATCTCCAAGTGTTGGGGGTGCTGTAAGCAGCCAGGATAAGGAGAATCACGTGAACTGTAACAGATTCAGAGTTGGTAAATATTGATAAAATGAAGCTTCCAAACGTTTCTTTTCCCCCTGCATCTGAAATACACGTGCAGTCGTGACTGGTAGTCATAAGAGAATGCACTTGGGAACAAACCTGGCTCAGGACTGGGTTAAGACTTTTAAAGGCGCCGAGCTCTGAAATGCATATGGCGCCACCTCCACCCCCACCCCCCGCACTTCTGCTCCTCTCACCCCTTCTGCTCCACCTCTGCATGTAATTTCTCAAAAACTATTCTGTAAAATAACTCCAAGAAGTACAAAGGTCTGATTCTTCCCCTGATGACTACTTAGATTTTGTTTGTGTTTCTGTCTTGGTCATATGATATTTTTCCCCCAGAAAACAGTTCTATTTCTGTGTATGTAGTGCACACCTGCTTTTCTGGTGACTAAGCAGGTGCTTAGTCCTCCTGTTGGGTAATAAGGGCATGTCTGGTATTGTGACCCTAACTGTACAAAATAACTCACTGAGAGTGAAGCTTTTCTTGAGTGAGCTGAGTAGGCTTAAAAAGTGCAGTGGACTTAATAGATGATTTTAGTTGGAAGATGTTCACATCCAGCACGCTTCAAGCCTAAGCTATGATTTTCTCTCACCAAGACCACTACAAAAGCTACTAACTAGTCTATCTACCATAGAATTCTTCCCCTGTCCAATCTCTTCTCCACCCAGCAAACAGAATATGATGCAAATCTAATCATCTTACTCCACTTTAAAGTCCTTGATTGCAATCCGTTGTGCTTTGGTTAAAGTCTACAATCCTTAACAAAGTTTGCCTTGGTCTCCCATTCTAGGTTAGTTTTCCACATTCTTGTAGACAGGGGTGGATTATCCAGTAGGCAGATTATCTAATAGTAATTACCTTCCTTACGAGATCATCTGTAGTGAAACTCATGTGAAATTGTTCATTACAGATTAGTAAGTAAGCATAGGTAAGCTCATGTTTACCTGTGTTTACTGGATCATCCACCCCTGCCAGGGATTGTAAATTTTTTAAAAAAGGCTTTGATTCTGTAGGAAGATGCTGTGGGGTTTGGGAGAGAGACAGATGCCAGGGATACCTAGAAGCAGAAGCTTTGATGTGGTGAAAAAATGTGAAATTGTTCAGTACAGATGATCTGGTAAGCAAAGTAAGCTCTTTGCTTACCTTGCCTATCGGATAATCCACCCCTGCTTGTAGAACTATGTTTCTTTCCTTCAAAAAAGAAGCCAAACCTGTTGCTGTTGAGTTAATTCCGACTCCTAGAGACCTTATAGGACAGAATAGGACTATCCCATAGGGTTTCCAAGGAGCAGCTGGTGGATTCAAACTGCTGATCTTTTGGTTAGCAGCCGAGCTCTTAACCACTACGCCATCAGGGCTCCGTTTCTTTCCTTGGCAACACTTATATCAGCATGTTGTTGTTGTTGGGTGCCATCAAGTCGATTTTTGACTCATAGAGACCCCTTGTGACAGAGTAGAACTAACTGCGCCGTAGAGTTTTCTTGGCTGTAAGCTTTATGGAAGCAGATTTACTAGGTCTTTCTCTGGCAGCGTGGCTGGGTGGATTTGAACCGTCAACCTTTTGGTTAGTAGCCAAGCGCTTAATTCTTTTGCCACCAGGGCTCCTTTTATCAATATGTAGGAATATATTTGTTGTTTTTTTATTTAATTACTGTAAGTCTTCCACTGATCCCCAGAGGGCAGGGATGGAATTTTCCTCACCTTTGAAGTTCCAGCAACCAGCACAGTGTCTAACACATAATAAATACTTAATACATGTATTATGTTTATAAATAATAACTGATAGCCTGTGTGTATGAATGTACTCCTATCATGATTATGTCTTTATTTTTCCCAATGAAACTACCAGTTCATATTTGTTTGTTTTAATGTTCATTCTCTCAGAAGTAGGTAATTTTACACCTGGAAGCAATTCAGAAGTGATTGAGAGACAAGTTAATCTGAACCCTCTCGTTTTACAGTGGAGGCAGAAAATGTTATAGGTTATTTTCCCAGGTCACGCCATGGCAGATCAGCGTCTAGAAGCCAGGTCCTGGGACAAGGACTTTTTTTTTCTTTTGATCTAGGTTGGGCCAAGCTGGGTGGCTAAGCTTTCAGTTGAGGAGGCTGGGGCGGCTCTGTTCCTCACTGAAGGCTTGTGGGTAGGTTGGGGCAACTCTGCCTCAGGCTGAAGGGGCAGCAGCTACCCAGGGAGGCCATTTTAATAATAAAGGTAGAGGAGCAAAAGGGCAAAGGAAGCATGTAAGCCTTTTAAGGTCTGGCTCAGAACTGGGGCACTTCTACTTCTTTCGTTTGCCAAAGCAAGTCACATGGCCAATCCCAAAGTAAAGGTGGGAGGAAGTATACTCAGCCCACAAAGAAGCCATGGCAAGGGTGTGAATGCAGGAAGGGATGAAGAATTAGGCTAATTATTCAATGTCTACAATGACAGAAGCCCTGTACCATCTTGTTTAGCCTAGACCAGTCGTTCCCAAAGTTTCAGTCCTAGACTCATAGCCTGAGCATCAGCTGGATTTGGCAAAAATATGGATCTCTTCCAGTCAGTTGGCCAGGAGCCAGTTAGAAATTAAAATTTTGGGGCCACACCCCAGACCTTCTGAATCAGAACCTCTGGAGGATAAGGCCCAGCAATGGCGGGGGGGGGGGTGGTAACAACACCTCCAGGTGATTTTAATAGATGCTAAAGTTTGAGAACCACTATATAGGAATCAGTGGATACCAGGCTTTGCAAGATAGACCAATTTAACCATTGTTCGTAAGAAGGGGTGAGAAATAAGACCTTAGAAAGCTCTATTTATCCCAATAGGCTACCATTGTGTGTGTGTGTGTGTGTGTGTGTGTGTGTGTGTGTGCGTGTGTGTGTGTGTGTGTATAGGTTTCTGAGTATGTAGGGATGTTTGAATAGGAATAGGGACATCTAGTTGGTAGCAAAAACGCAGGGAAGGGAATTACGAGGAAGTAGGTGCTGGAAATAGAGTGGATTTAATCAATTCACTGAGTAATAAGAATATAAGTCTAAGGAAGACGGGTCCACTTGCCTCATGGAACAGTTGGGTTGCTAAAGTACTGTTCTGACACCCAAAATTCATCACAATGAATTTTCATTTTCAATGGATGTGAGGAAGAGGGGGTCATTAAGGCTGACTCCTGAGTCTGTGGCCTGGGCTACAATGAGTAGAATCAATGAGAAAACATAAATAAGGTAGTTTGCACAGTATTCAATAATTTGTGGAAATGATAATTACCAAAGACCTATTACTGAGTCCACAGTTCTGCCTTCAGCAGCCAGTTCTGGAAAAGAATGATCCTGGTACCCCTGTGGCTGTATGTACAGAACTGAAAGAAAAAAGTACCAGAACTGAATACAACATTTCAGGCATTGAACACAGGGAGTTAATTTACTGCAAAGTCACATGTAATACATAACTAAATTTAACAAAAGGGAGACAGATCTTAGTGGGGTTAGGTATCAAGTAAAAGTATAGAGTAAAAATCAGGAAGGGGTAACTTTGTTCTTTAATATTTCTTATATTGCGAGGATAAGGGGGGAGGGAAACTAGAGTATTGGAAGTGAAACAACAAGAACACAATTAATGAGAATGTTCACACAATATGAAAAATGTAACTAATGTCA